AGTTAAAATTTATTTAAATATGGAACAAAGATATACACCTATGACAAGACTTCAAATAAAAAAATGTCAATGGACGGTGTGTGAAAAACTTTATATTCTTATATATCTTGATAGGTAGCAATAGGGATTCTAGTTGGTTTATTCGATTCTATTTATTAATCAGTTTTTTTACAATAAATGTATAAGCAGAGTTTTAGGTACTACTGTTTGTGGTACTGCTGATAAATTTGGAATTCAGCCGAAACAAATATGAGAATGGTGTAGTAAAAAGCAAGTGCTTATACTTGCACAACCTCATATTAAGTATTTAAATAGTGGTCCATAGCCTGCTTATCCTGAACTTGAATTAGAACTTGCTATATGGGTCAAAAATTTACATAATAATTTAAAGCCTGTTAGTCATTTTATGATACAAGCAAAAGCAGCTGGTTTAGCTAGTTTACCACAATATGCAAATCATTTCCTTATATTAGTTCATTTAAGTGGAGCAATAAATAGTTAAATGGTTTTATGCATCATTATAAATTTAGTAATCATCGCAAAACTACAGTTGCACAACATTTACTTACAGATTTAGAGGCTAAGCAACAAGAATTTTAAGTCTTATTCAATATTGTCATATTCAACATAACTATCCATTATCATTAATTGGAAACATGAATGAAACACTACTTAGTTTTGATATGCCAAATAATGTTACCATTGATACTATAGGAAATAAGACAGTTAGTATTAGAACCAGTGAGTATGAAAAATCTAATTTTACTGTAGTTCTTGGTTGTATGGCAGATGGAACTAAATTACTGCCAATAGTTATTTTTAAATTGAAAAATATTTCACAACTTAGATTTCCACTAGGCATAATTATTCATGCTAATGAAAAAGGGTGGATGAATATAAAGAAAATGATTTATTGGATTGACTATGTATAGAATTATCATACACCAAATGTTAAAAATCCATGATCATTACTTGTCATAGATTCTTTCCTAGCATATATAATGTTTTCTGTTAAAAATCATATTTCAAAAAAAAATACTAACCTTGTTGTTGTTCCTGGAGGTTTAATACCAAAAGTTCAACCTCTTGATGTTGCAATCAATAAATCATTCAAGTCAAATGTCTATTTTTTTTTTTTTTAATTTATTTATAAAATTTTAATTTTAATTTAATAGATTAGAAAGTTTTATAATAATTGGATGTCTCAAGAAATAAAAAAATTAACTCCAACTGACAAAATTCAACATTTAGCATATGATGTTATTGCTAAATGGATTAAAATGCTTGGGATTCTGTTAATATACAACTTATTCAACATTCTTTTAAATGTTGTGGTATGTCAACTATGATGGATAGATCAAAAGAAAATATGATCTTTGATTATGATAATTTAGATAATTACAATACATATATAATATGTATTATTTATATAAATTAATTATTAATCAAAATTTTTGATTCATTAAAAATAATATCCTATAAAGATGGG